CTACTACTGCAGAAGGAGTCTAATGGCTTGTTTGATAACATATAAAAAAGAATAGCTTGCTTCAGATTTATTTTTTGCGATGCTCAAGTAGATTTTAGATCTACTTTGCAAAACAAATGAGCAGTGAATGCGGCGTATTCTGAGCAAAGGAAAACAAAAGTGCGCTCTCTTGTGGTCATTGATAACATCGCAACGTCTTCATGTCGTGAACTAGAGCCCCATGAGGCACTTTTTGAAGCTTTAGGATGAAAGCTGATTGGCTGAGTTCATTTTACGAGCTTTTTGATTCGTCCCACAGTGGGGAAATGTCAGTGTTGCATCACAAGTTACAGACAGTGGGGATGAGGAGCTCTCTTTACTCTTTACCAAAATAAAATGAAATAAAAAATAAATAAAAAAAATCTCTAATTAAATTGATTGGATTTAATTACAGCAAAAAACGTGTGTTGAAAGGCTAAATGCTAACAGCTAGCAACAAAAAAGTCTGTTGCTATGGTAACTAGCACTAGCTCTACTCTAGTGGAAAACCGAGTGTACTAGGCGCAGAAAAAGGGACCTGTTCAAGACCAATCCAGGACCTTTCCAGGACCAGACCAGGACCTGTACAGGACCTGTCCAGTACCAGTCCAGGACCTGTACAGGACCTGTCCAGTACCAGTCCAGGACCAGACCAGGTTCTGACCGGGACATGTTCAGGAACCAATCCAAGACCAGTTTAGGATCAGTTCAGGACCAGTCCAGGATAAAAAGAAGCAGTAGAAAATGTCTTATCTTTAGCAAAATAAGGACAGAAGTCGAAAATCTCCAACTTTAATAAAACGAAGGAGCAAAACTTAAATACAAAAACCATTGACCCCAGCATTAACTACTGCATGATCTAGTGCAAGTAAAATACTGTTGTAAGTCTACATCTGTACATACTATTGTGCCTTGAGAGTTAAGTCCCTCAGCTTTATCTGAATCCTACACCACACATGAATAGATACATGTTTTTAACAAAAGCAGCACAACATTTCTGGACCATGGAGACATCTCAGGTCGTAGTCAGGTCTGGAAGCCTCTGCGCTGTCAGCTGTCTCTCCCCCGCCTCACCCCCGTCTCCTCCCCGCCTCACCCCCGTCTCCTCCCCGCCTCACCCCCGTCTCCTCCCCGCCTCTTCCCCGCCTCTCCCCCGTCTCTCCCCCGCCTCACCCCCATGCCTCACCCCCGTCTCCTCCCCGCCTCTCCCCCGCCTCTCCCCCGCCTCTCCCCCGCCTCTCCCCCGCCTCTCCCCCGCCTCTCCCCCGCCTCTCCCCCGTCTCTCCCCCGCCTCTCCCCCGTCTCTTCCCCGCCTCCCCCGCCTCTCCCCCGCCTCTCCCCCGCCTCTCCCCCGCCTCTCCCCCGCCTCTCCCCCGTCTCCTCCCCGCCTCTCCCCCGTCTCCTCCCCCGTCTCTCCCCCATGCCTCTCCCCCGCCTCTCCCCGCTCTCCCCGCCTCTCCCCGCCTCTCCCCCGTCTCTCCCCCGCCTCTCCCCCGCCTCTCCCCCGTCTCTCCCCCGTCTCTCCCCCGTCTCTCCCTCATGCCTCACCCCCGTCTCTCCCCCATGCCTCACCCCCGTCTCTCCCCCATGCCTCACCCCCGTCTCTCCCCCGTCTCTCCCCCATGCCTCACCCCCGTCTCACCCCCGTCTCTCCCCCATGCCTCACCCCCGTCTCTCCCCCGTCTCTCCCCCGTCTCTCCCCCATGCCTCACCCCCGTCTCACCCCCGTCTCTCCCCCATGCCTCACCCCCGTCTCTCCCCCGTCTCTCCCCCATGCCTCTCCCACGTATCTCCCAAGTCTCCACACGAAGCGCAGCCAAAACTCACTGAATAAAGCTCAGCTCGGCTTCCTCCGCTATATCGAAATAATTGTTTCCATTGCCGTTTTGCGAAAAACTTAATTTCGATACGTCCAAAAAACCACCTATTTTAAGCGCATTAACTTTTTATCGAAAAACTGTGGTTTATTCGAAATTTGTGCGTTTCCATTAGACATTTTATGATGCGCAAATTCAAATTTCGAAATTTGATGCTCAATGGAAACGCAGCTAGTGTCCTCCCTGGCCTGATGGATGTCCTACTAATGCTCTGTGGGTGGATTTTTTGAAAACCTCCAGGCCCCGAGCGCTGAGGCACGGGTCAAGGTGACTGCAGAAACATTAACGATTTTAATGAGCCTTTTGATTATCCATTATATTAAGGCCAAAAGTTAACCACGACCAGAATGAGAGGATCGGTCAGGCCTGCAACAATGTGTGTGTAATAACATGCATAAAGAGACAGTCTTAACGCTGGGAGAGGAGGATTTATGACATACAGAGCACAAATTGTATGTTAGAAATAGACCAGAAATAGGTAAATTAGATCACATATCTTTGAGTTCTTTTATTCATCCTCCTGTTTGGTTTTGCTTTGTAATTACTTTGTAATCACATTTTTAGCAGTAACCAGGAAGTAATACCACATTAGTCACCACACTATCTCTCGCCAGCCACACATCATATTTGCCTAAGTCGTTTTTTGTGCAAATTGTGAGTTTTGCCCTAACTTTCAGCTCCTTCCACTGCTGCATCTCTCTCACAGAACCTTGTCCAAAAAGGCTAAGCTATCCGCCTAAAAGTAATCTCCTTGACCTCCTCGCACCAAAGTACATCTGTGACATTTTAGTGCCATTTGAACCAACGTGGACTCTGAGGAGCACAGGGACTGGCCTCCTGCTGGGACTCTGGGGAGCACAGGGACTGGCCTCCTGCTGGGACTCTGAGGAGCACAGGGACTGGTCTCCTGCTGGGACTCTGAGGAGCACAGGGACTGGCCTCCTACTGGGACTCTGAGGAGCAGATTTATGCAGCTAAAAACGTTCTTCCTGAAAATGTGAGACAGGCTTCTTCTCTTTTGTAATGGTTTTATATCTTGTTTTGTTCAGCACTTTGCCTTATATGAACTGTGTTATACAAATAAACTTGCCTTGTCTTGCCTATCATGGTTTAGTATATTTTCTGTTTTATATTTTACCTTCTTTACTCCCTTGTGACTTCCTCAGTTCAACTTTCTCTTGTTAGTTTTGCGTTTTCATTTCATTATATACTGTATCTCATATGAACTCCAGTGCAGTGAGCATCGAACCCCTGTTTTTGGAGGAGGAAAAGGACGAGACCACACAGTTCAATGCATTTGTCCATATGTCAATTCATAGTTTATTTACAATAGCTATAACAAAAGGTTCCAATATGAGATATAAGAGCTTTCCTAGGAAAAGGTACGAAAAACAGTGATTGCTTCGTCCATGGACTTTGGTATGTGTCCAGGACCAGGTGTGTGTCCATGCAGGTGTAATGGTCGCTGTACAAACTTATCGGATTGTCCATGATCTATTCTATGTACATGAACTTACGGGAAAACAATGTAGAGATTGGAATATATGAAAGAAAATTGTAATTCGTGCATGCAAGTGGTAGCTAATGTCTTGCGTTGGTGGTAAATTAAACTGGAACTTTGACAGTCAAAACAGGTCCAAGATAAGAGCCGTGGATGTGTGTCTATGCAAGCTTTGAATACATTTTGCATTTCTTATTTATTTACAGATACATTTTAATACAGTTTGGGTACCCTCTGTGTAAAGTGCGAAGAGTGCCACGCATCCGAGAACGATCTCAAATTCAAAAGTCTTTCTTGTTGTCAACAAGCACACAGTCGGCGGTTGTTTCTCAGCCCCAGGAGTACGGGAAACGGCCTGTTTTCGCACCCAACCAGAATGAAATAAAAGGAGCGTCTCTGCGCGCCAAAGCTCCCTCCCCATGGTGTGAAAAAAGTGGTTCTATTTTCACACCCCTCTCGCGGAGGAAAGAAAGAAGTTTTCGCGCGGAGAGATAGAGGTTGGGTAGAAAACACAACCGTTTGATGCAGCCCAAAAGAGACTGGAAGTGAGAAAGAGACTGCCGCGTGGGAAGGAGAGAGGAAGTATATGAGGGCAATCCCAAAGATGGCTCTTAAAATTGCGAAATCAACACGCTATGTACAGCCGCGTTGACTTGTCGGCGGCGTTAACAAACCATGCATTTCGACAAATTATCAACAAGGGATACATTGTGGACGCGTCTTTCCCAGTCATAAAGTCCACGTTCCATCTCATTCAGCGATCATATGCAGTACAAGCATGCTTTCTTTCACTTCACGGGGTTAGTAGTCCTAGTAGTGCTGTTAGTAAATAAGCTAAGTATTACCTAAAAAAAACTCCTTGTGAAATTGAATAAAACACAGTTACAATCTAGTGCAAATGCAGAACGAAATCAATCTTATTGTAAAAATTCAGGTATATATGCGTTTATAGAGGCACTACTCCCGAGTGCCACAGGGCTGCAGCCTAGGGCCTTAGATATTCTCACAACTTTTTTAAGTAAAGGTAATTCTGGATAACAAGTCTATTTTGTTAAGTTAGTAAGCTTAGTCGTATGTTCATGTTTTCTTATTTGTAACAATAATGATGATAAATATGGTATCTATAAAAAAAACTGGTCATGGTGGTTAATTCAACGCAATTCATTGGCAATTATCACGGAATTTCAAAAATGTTCACATACATTGAATTCTCCAAAGGTTTTAGATAATGTTAGTGCTCTTGTCTCTGTATAATTATTGCTACAGCCCTGTCACAGCACTCCGATTTAACGTCAAACTCAACCAGTAACTGTACAGAATTGAATAGCTCTAATAATCCACACAAAATACCAACATAAGACGAAAGCAGAGCGTACACAGAAGAAAAGGCTCAAACGTGACGGGTTCGTTGACGCATGCTTAGCACATAAAAACTCGTCCCGACTCCAGAAAGGTCGTTTTCAGCAGACAGCACATGCCCTTCTCTAAGTCTTGTCCGGCAGATTGCTTTGCTGGAGCATCCTTCCTTTGTTCCTCCATCGTCCAGACTTCGGGTGGCTTCCTCTCTCCTCACGTGGAAAGCCGTGGTCCGGGCAGGCGGTTCCTCAGACCACGGTGCTGACAGACGGGTCCGAAAGGTTGAGTTGGCCCGTGATGTCAGTAGGCGGGAATTGCTGGGGTTAAAGATGGAAAAAGAGAGAGAGGGAGAGAGACACATACAAAAACAAGTCATTTCTGGTCAAAATGCGTAAAGTGATTTCAATCAGCTGTGTTTGAAGGGATGCCATTTTCTAATGTGGTGTGGTTATAACAATGTGTTTATGAGTAGTTGGAGTTATAGATGTGAAGTAGCTGTCAAGAAGAACTAGGATTGCGTTGGATACATTTGGCATATTTGGCTCTTGCAGGTCCATTAGAAGGCTCATATGTTACAGACTCTGTACCTGATTCTTGCCTGTCATTATCAAGGAATATAAAAAAATAATTTCACTCCTCCTGAAATTTTTATGTATGCCTGTGTAACTCACCCGGTTACTAAATTGTAAATTCTCCATAGTAGATCAATAAAGTTTATCTTATCTTAAACATGGCAATGGTGTCTGATAGCTTTTACTGGCAGCAGTGGGAGAAAACCATGAGACTAATATTTATGCCTTGATTTGAGGACAAAAAACAGTGCAGATTGCAAAATTTGACTCAACAAAGTATTAAAGAATGGAAATAGTGTGGCTGCATATACTTTCACTCAGTAAAACCCTGCTTTTGTTGTCTCCAAAGCTAGGTTTTCCTACTCTGTTAAGAAATACACATAAAACCAAACCAAAAAACCCAATTGTGTTGATTGTAAGTATTTCAAAATCTGTATGTGCTGTCGAGGGGACTGCTGCTGGTGTACCGCAAGGCTGCATTCTAGGGCCTTTGTTATTCTTAAATCAAAATATGTTTTCTTGCTTGAGTGTTGAATTGCATTTATAAGAGCTGCAGAGAAAAAGCTAAAATACACCAAAAAGTTAATTCAATTGAATCACAATGGTGATGATGTTTGAAATATGGACAGGTAGAGCCGCTAACAAAACTGGACCATTGCAAGATTGTTATAAGTTTATTGTCAAATTTAAACTACTTAAGTATGCTATAATATCAACAATCCAAAACACGTATAACACACCCAAAATGTATCCCTTCAAAACGTCTTATAAAAAGGTGTAAAACTCAACAATAAACGTGTAACCCCTCTCAGACACATTCTCTGGCCTCGTTTTGGGAAGCGTGCGCTGAGGCGGGTTAGCTCTGCGCTACATAAGCTACCACAACACATTGGAATCAGCGTCTTCCTCCTCTACTTCCTCCACTTTTACATAACTGGGTGCGAATATCTTGCCAAAGGGTGCAGCAGTGGCCACTTCTTCTTTTTTTGTCCTTTTTTTGTTGCTCGTCTATTTTTAGCCCGTTCCTCGGCTCGCTGGAGGAGGTTAGTGAGGGAGAAAATATCGCGGCTGATTCCAAAGTGCTGCTCGGAGCTCCTGTGGGCTTGCTCGCTTGATTGGAGCAGTTGGAATTGTAGGCGTCTGTTTGCGCCGAAAGAAAAAAGAGATCCCAGTCCCAGCAAGCCAGGTGCTGCTTGGTTTCTATGGCAACTGTATTTCTGATTTTTACGTTTTTATCTGTTAATCATATCATATCAGATCGGCCCGGAGTGTGTGGAGTGCGTGGAGTGCCGGTCTTAATCCGAAAGCTATTATCCTATTACACAGCAGAATTACGGGCTCAAATGTGGATTTTTCACATATGCAGGAAAGCGATTGGGTTTTTTTTTTTGAGTGATTTTAATTGTTTGAAGTAGATGAGTGGGAGGTCACGAATCTTTCTTTTCTCCATTAGCGTTTTAGCTTGGAAAAACCATATTCCTGACTATACAATATCATCTTTTCAGAAGACATTTGGAAGATTAATAACCCGGTTTCTGAGGCTCTTTTTAAAGCTGGGGTCCCAACGATTTCTATCCATAAAAAACAGAAATAGTCCACAACATGCTGTTTCCAAATTGTATCGTTCACTAACTTGTAAGATCGCTGTGAGTCACTAGTGGACGCTTTGGGCTGAGAGCTAGTTGGCAGAGAGAGGATGGTCCTTTCTCTTTTTTGCTTTTCGGCCTGAGAAAGCTAAAAATGTGAATGATGCCAAAAATACATTTACTTGAAAACTAGTTATCTAAACTCTTCTGAGAGCTAGGAATAACCCTTTTTTCCTTTGGTTTGAAAGTTAAGTACCGCAGCTTTAAGTGAGTCTTCCATACGACCTTTGCCTCGGCAGTCCACACACTAAACACACCCTCGAGCTGTTTTCTAATGCGTTATCCGGCACCTAAACCCTTCAGTGCCCCTGAAAATACCAAGACATTGACAAGCACATCGATAATTGACCTTTTTCCGTTTTTTTTTTGTTTGTTTAGGACTTGTGCCTTTTATTTCAAGCCATTACATCCAAGCAGAAGTGATGCAACCCCCATGCGTGAGTGACGATGAGCCAACATCCACGCTGTCGCCATTTCACCAGCGTGGATGCGTCTCATGCGTTTACCTTATCTAACCAGTTATCGCTACCAGTTGCATCACAGTATGGCTTAGGAAAAGAAAAAAAAACCTTGCAGATCCTGTCAAGTTTAAAACCCTTGAGGACCTCTTTAAAGCAGTACCCCATAGAAGCACTTACAGAACACCAAGATCACTCTTTCGTTTTAAGGTTCTAAACAGACGACACAGGTTTTTTGGGTCAATCTACGTTCTATGGACAGGGACAGTCATGCTTGCAGAGTCAAGAGAGGAGCAAGGTGTGGGCATGTGGGTGGAGGGACATTGACAATCGATCCATTTATATCCATCAATAGAAATATAAAATAAGAACATTTATAGAAACTCAAAAAAATGGTCGAAAGACTGGCAATGGCGGTTAGAACACTGGGTCACGCTAAAAGTCCTGCTTCCCGTGTGCAGCCTTCCCACAAAGACAGCGGCCGACTTGCCTTCTTTTCATGTGCAAAACCTCAAAGAGAGACATTCAGAACACATAATAAAACAGTGCTTTGAAGAATTATATATATAAAAAGCAAGTTTTAATTAATAGACAGAGACATAACTGAGGCGTCTTTGCTTGGCAGCCCTGTGAAGAATAGTTAGAAGAGGTTCAATGAGGAGGCTATTGTGATTTTTCTTTCATTGCCGCAGAGTTTATGCAGTTGAATGGGGTTGGCAGCTGGCAGTGTCTGTGTGGCAGTGGTAGAAGGAGAAAAGATAAGAGCCGAGCCAACACTTTTTACAGTGCGGCAATAAAGAATTGAAGAGAAGCGATGGGCGAGTAAAAGACAGCGTTCCCAAGGGCCATCGAAGAGAGAGAAAAGAGAGAGAGCTTCAGGCAACCAACTCTGTGTAAGGCAAGTGGCCAGTGTTGTGAAGCAGTTCTAGTGAATTAGTTTCACTCAGCAGTTTTTGAAATGTCTCTGGGAGAAGTTGGACGGCTTTGAATGCTCCGATCCAAACAAGATGTTAACAAGAGTGAATGAAAGAAGACGTAATCCCTCTTTCGGGCTGCATAATAGGAAGGGTTCCAAAGCAATCTGGACACTGTTTTTCTAATTGTAATTTTGACTTTGAAATTATATTAAGGCACACAACAGCTGAAAAGGAAGGCACCACATAAGTTAATGCATGCTTTAAATCTCCTTTATTTTCACAATATTCTGACGTTAAGAAAGATGCTGTCTATGTCAAGCACAAATTTTTCTTGTCATATTTTTTGCGTTGAGGGAGTTTTCAGACAGAGTAAACTTAACAAACACGTGCTTCTTCAAATTGTTTTCCCTTGATCCTGCACTTGACCCGTGTGTGATGTGGTCTGTCGTGGTGGGATTTTGGTCTGTCGCAACTGGCGGCTTTTATCATCTGGGGAACAGTCTTCCACGGCCCGAGTGGTGACGCCGTTGGCGCCAATGGAGCTCAATGTTCTCTTCGATATGGTTTTGTTTAACTTGTCTATAGTTACATAAGGATGTTTCATCAATCACCCATCAGTCAATTTGTAAGGGACATTTTAGAACGGCCTACACTGGAAAAAAATCCCTTGAAAAAAAACAAAAAAAAATATGAATATAAGTAAATTACTGCTTAAAATAAGAAAACATATCTTCTAATAGAACAAGAAAATATGACTTGACAAGATTTCACTAAACAATACTAGCCCCAAATGACTTGAGTCTAGTCTAAAACATACATTTAAAATATTATTTACTTATTTCTTAAACCTTTTTGAGATTTTTTTTCTTAAAATATTGTAAAACCTACTTATTCTATCTAAACAAGAAAAGTAAAACAAGCATTAAAAACTCCTGCTCAGACTTTTTTCTTAATAAGATTATCAAGTATTATTGTTTTAAAAATAGTAAAACAATCTTATACTTATAATAATCTTATCTTACATTCCAGCAAAAAAAAAAAAACTAAAAACTTTCCATTAAAAAGATAAGCATTACTTATGTAATTTTTAATAAATCTTACCAATATTTTACTGTTTTCAGTGTACGGGTGCAAATTTTTTTTGAAATCTTTCTCCCTCTTTTTCCAATAGTTTGTTTTTGAGGTGTTCATGCAGAAGGGTCGAGGGGCAGTGATGATCCAGGACATTTATGGACCTGTATCAGTATCTATCGACCGTGGTCATCCCGCTCCCGATGGCTTCTTTGTGTCCATTGTTATTGTGATTGTCCATTGCATTGTGTGTGTTCAGACAGTTTGATTCTCTGATCTGTTGTTTGTGAATCTACAACGTTGTAAAGTCCTCCGGGATGACTGCTGTTGTGATGTAGGGCTTTACAAATATAGCTCGAATAGAAAGTACCAGCGTTTCTACTCTGCGTGTGTGGAGAAATGCACTTGTGAGTTGACGGTTGCTACGGTGATGCGTCCTCACCGCCCACTCACCGCCAACTCATCTCCAGAGAGCAGTTCAGACACAAAACACTGAAGTTGACTTTACTCTTACTGTATTTAGAGAAGGTTTCACAGAGAAGGTGAAAATCTGGATCCACACAGTTCCCCTTTGTCTGCTGTTTGCAAAGGGGTAAACATGGCAAAACTGATAGTAATTGCTTGAATCAGTGGCTTTTATCTTAATTTATCTT